GTGGGGCTCGAACCCACGGACCCCGAGATCATGACCTGAGCCGAAGTCGGCCGCCCAACCGACTGAGCCACCCAGGCGCCCCGGAAATCTCTTAATAAATGTTACTGTTGTCACCATGATCTCAGGCCCAAGGCCGTACAGTACAGCCAGTTGGTGACAAAACGGGGCCTCTGAGTCCCCAGGCCAGTGGCCTCCCAAACTACACCAGCTGTTGTGATGTGTTGTGTCAACAGCAGGTGGGAGAGAAAAGGAGACATGGGGTCTGTAAAAGAAACAGCCCTGGCCCTAAGAGGGTTTAAGCAGACCTGGGGACAGAGGTGGGGGGCTAAGGCTTGGCACTGACCCTGATCCTGGAATGTTTTGGCCTCACTTTTCCCATCATTTGCTTCCAGTTCCCTGGACCCTTGACCCCTCTGTGGCTGGCACTCCACTGGCACTCCTGGCTCAGGCAGTGAAGAGCTGGGGTGTGTGACCTGCAGGGGTCCTCAGGGCAGGACCTCTCAGGCTGAGGCCTCGGGCAGCATCCCTGAGGCTCCTCTTTGATGGAGTCAAGATGTAGTCCGGAGCCAAGTGCAGCTCTGAGACAAGCCACTTCTACTGGGCTGGAGAGATACCTCTCTGCCTCTGCCCTATAGCCTGAAAGGAGGTGAGGGGGCCTTGGATAGGGCTGGGGAAACCTGGGCCCCTGCGTTGCTCCTGAGCTCTCTCCTGCTGTGTGTGCTGTACAGATCCGCTCCCATACCCGCTTTGGGGCTCTGTGCCAGCGAACGGAAGCCAACAAGTGCTGTCCCAGCTGGTCCCTGGGCAACTATGTGGCCGTGCTCTCCAACCGCTCCTCCTGCCTGGACACGACCCAAGCGGATGCAGCCCGAACACTGGCCCTTCTGCGGGCCTGTGCCATCTACTACCACCGCGGTGCCCTGGTGCCCTCTTGTCTGGGCCCCGGGCAGGACAAGCCCCTGCACTGCGCCCAGGTTCCCACCAAGTGCTCTCGGAGCAGTGCCGTCTACCAACTCCTCCACTTTCTGCTGGACAGGGACTTCCTGAGCCCCCAGACTGCTGACTACCAGGTGCCCTCCCTCAAGTACAGCCTGCTCTTCCTGCCCACTCCAAAGGGTGCCTCTATGATGGGCATCTACCTGGACCGCCTAGCCACCCCCTGGGGGCTCTCTGACAACTACACATCCATCACTGGCATGGACCTGGGCCTCAAGCAGGAGCTGCTGAGGCACTACCTGGTCCAGGACACGGTGTACCCCTTGCTGGCCCTGGCTGCCATCTTCCTCAGCATCGCCCTCTACTTGCGCTCCCTCTTCCTCACACTCATGGTGCTGCTGGGGGTGCTGGGCTCCCTCCTGGTTGCCTTCTTTCTTTACCGTGTGGCCTTCCGCATGGCCTACTTTCCCTTCGTCAATCTGGCAGCCTTCGTCCTGCTCAGCAGCGTCTGCGTCAACCACACCCTCATCTTCTTCGACCTGTGGCGCCTCAGCAAGAGCCAGCTGCCCTCCGGGGGGCTGGCACAGCGCGTGGGCCGCACCATGCACCATTTCGGCTACCTGCTGCTGGTCTCGGGCCTCACCACGGCCGCGGCCTTTTATGCCAGCTACCTGAGCCGTCTGCCGGCCGTACGCTGCTTCGCCCTCTACATGGGCACGTCCGTGCTGGCGCACCTGGCGCTCACGCTGGCCTGGCTGCCCTCCGCCGCCGTGCTCCACGAGCGCTACCTGGCCCGCGGCTGTGCGTCCCGGGCGCAGGGCCCGTGGGGCGGCAGTGCGCCCCGGCGGCTGGCGCTGGCGCTGCACCGGCGGCTCCGCGGCCTTCGGAGGGCGGCGGCCAGCACCTCGCGCCTGCTCTTCCAGCGCCTGCTGCCCTGTGGGGTCATCAAGTTCCGCTACATCTGGATCTGCTGGTTCGCCGCGCTGGCGGCAGGGGGCGCCTACATCGCCGGCGTTAGCCCCCGTCTGCGGCTGCCCACTCTGCCGCCGCCCCGCGGCCAGGTCTTCCGGCCTAGCCACCCCTTCGAGCGCTTCGACGCGGAGTACCGCCAGCAGTTCCTGTTTGAGCGGCTGCCTCAGGGCGAGGGCGGCCACATGCCTGTGGTTTTGGTGTGGGGCATCCTGCCCGTGGACACTGGCGACCCGCTGGACCCTCGCAGCAACAGCTCCCTGGTGAGTGACCCTGCCTTCTCTGCCAGCGGTCCCGAGGCCCAGCGCTGGCTGCTGGCGCTCTGCCACGAAGCTCGGAATCAGAGCTTCTTTGGTGTCCAACCCGAGGGCTGGCCCACGCTGTGCTTCATGGAGGCCCTCCAGCGCTGGGTGGAGAGTCCTGCTTGTGCCCGCCTGGGGCCTGGCCTCTGCTGTGGCCACTCAGGCTTCCCTTGGGCACCCCAGCTTTTCCTGCACTGCCTCAAGATGATGGCTCTGGAGCAAGGCCCCAACAGCACCCGTGACCTAGGACCCCGCTTCAATAGCCAGGGCGGCTTGGCTGCCCTGGTTCTGCAGTTCCAGACTAACTTCCAGTACAGTACAGATTACAGCCAAGCACACCACTTCTATGCTGAAGTCAGCCAGTGGCTGGCAGGGGAGCTGGGCAGAGCACCTCCCGGCCTCCACCGGGGTTGGTTTACCAGCCATCTGGAGCTGTACAGCCTGCAACACAGCCTGAGCACAGAACCTGCTGTGGTGCTGGGCCTGGCTCTGGCGCTGGCGTTTGCCACACTGCTGCTGGGCACCTGGAACGTTCCGCTTAGCCTGTTCTCCGTGGCAGCGGTGGCAGGCACCGTACTACTCACCGTGGGGCTCCTGGTTCTACTCGAATGGCAGCTCAACACTGCCGAAGCCCTCTTTCTCTCTGCTTCCGTGGGCCTCTCAGTAGACTTCACTGTCAACTACTGCATCTCCTATCACCTGTGCCCACACCCCGACCGCCTGAGCCGCGTGGCCTTCTCGCTGCGCCAGACCAGCTGTGCCACGGCTGTGGGGGCCGCGGCCCTGTTTGCAGCCGGTGTGCTCATGCTGCCTGCCACGGTGCTGCTCTATCGCAAGCTGGGCATTGTCCTCATGATGGTCAAGTGCGTCAGCTGTGGCTTTGCCAGCTTCTTCTTCCAATCTCTGTGCTGTTTCTTTGGACCAGAGAAGAACTGTGGGCAGATCCTCTGGCCTTGTGCCCACCTGCCATGGGATGCTGGGAATGGGGAGCCTAGTGGGGAAAAGGCAGGCCGCCCAAGATCAGGGCCAGTGGGAAAGGCACCCGGATCCTGCTCGGAACAATACGAGCTACAGCCCCTGGCACGGCGCCGGAGTCCCAGCTTTGACACCAGCACAGCCACTAGCAAACTGTCCCACCGGCCCTCGGTGCTCTCTGAGGATCTACAGCTGCATGATGGCCCCTGCTGCCCCCGGCCCCCACCGGCCCCTGCCTCCCCAAGGGAGCTGTTCCTGGACCACCAGGCAGTCTTCAGCCAGTGCCCGGCCCTGCAGACCTCCTCCCCCTATAAGCAGGCTGGCCCCAGCCCCAAAACCCAAGCCAGGCAGGACTCCCAAGGGCAGAAGGCTGAGCCCGTGCAGGCCTCACCAGAAGCCTCGGCCCACCCTCCCAAGCCCAAGGCCGTGGAGCCTCCGGATTGCCTCTGCTCCTCAGCTAGCACCCTGGAGGGGCTCAGCGTCTCTGACGAGACCTGCCTAAGCACCTCTGAGCCCAGTGCCCGAGTGCCAGATTCTGTGGGTGCCTCCCCAGAGGACCTGGACGAAACAGAGCAAACGGTACCTGAGCGGGGCCAGCTGAATGAGAAGCGAGACACCCTATGGCTGGCACTGAGGGAGACCGTGTATGATCCGTCGCTGCCTGCCTCCCACCAGAGCAGCTCCTCCTGGAAGGGCCGTGGGGCACCAGGGGATGGCAGCCCTGTGGTGCTGCCCAACAGCCAGCCAGATCTGCCAGATGTTTGGCTACGCAGGCCCAGCACCCACACTTCAGGCTACAGTAGCTGAGGGAGGCCCAGGAAGGCAGGACTGGGGCACAGAGCCTGTCAGAGGTGACAGGAGGGGGGCAGCCCCAGACTGGAGCCTGATAGTGTCTGCCCGCATCAGCATGGAGGGGTCTCACCCTCCAGCTGTGGATTTTAAACCCTGCCAGATGTTTCAGCCTTGGTCCAGACTGCTACTTATTCCCCACATCTGGAGGATTCAGTGGAGAGGGTCTTTGGAGAGAAATGTCAAGCTCTCCTTGTAACTTGCTGAGGTCTCATTTGTCCCCATATGCCAACCAGGACCTCTGGAAGGGGGAGGGCCAGATGTGTAGCTCCAGGTATCAGGGCGAGGCTGACTCAGCCCCCAAGCCAAGTGGGACGAAGGGACTCAGTCCGTGGAATCCTGCCAGGGCACCTCACCAACCAGAAGAGCCCTAGGGAGCCTCAGCAGCCTCCAGGGCCTCACACCTTTCAGGGGCTCTTCAGCAGGACACTTCCTTCTCTTTGGAGACCTTCTCTGGGCCGGAATTAAGTGACTCTTTCCTGAAGAGCCCTACCCCCTCACACTCCCCGGGCTGACCAGATATTTGCCAGGGCCTGGCAGAGACGGCTGCTGGGAATGAAGCAGGAGGAGGAGGGCTGGTCAGCCTCAGAGTGTCTCTCAGTTACAGGACGGTCCCTCGTGGGGAGCTGCTCTGGTACACGAAGCGTGCTCTCCCCTGTGAACAAACAATAAGAATCCTTTACATCCTGCATCTCTTAGTTTACGGAACACTTGCACACCCACTTTCTCCTTAGTCTCACCATGTCACTATGGGGAAGTCTGCGGTTAGCCAGGTCCTTCTGCCCCCGATGTATAGGTAAAGTCATTGAGAGTAAGTAAGCTTAAGCGATTGACCCACAGTCACAGAACTAGTACAGGGGGAAGCAACTTCCCTGGCTCACTCCCCCCTGAAACTTCCACTCTCCTGGCTCCCTGCCCCAGGGACATTGGCTTGTGGCTAACTTGACCCTTCACCTCTGGCACCCTCTTACGACCTGCCTTTACAGGTGTCTCTGAGTGCAACACTCCCTTCCTTCCTCTCTTTAGACCTCCGTCTCGAGAGAGAGCTATACTCTGAGCTGGCTGCAAGTTGCCCCGCATCTGCCCAGTGCTTCCCTTCAGATCCACTGAGAACCTATCGGCTATGGGGCATCCTGGCTGATCTGCTTCCCGGGTTCAGGGGCATACTTCTTCCATGGCCACAGTGTATGGAGAGCCCCTGTCAGGAGAGGCACTGAGGGTAGTAGAGGTTGAACGGAATTCAGTTAAGGCAGGACCCCAGGCCTGCCCCTTTTGGGAGTGTGTGAGTCTAAAGCTATTCCCCGCGTCAGGGTCCCCAGCTTCCTGAGGACATGTCGTTCTGGGGGTTCTCAGCAGACCAAAAGGTGACTCCTCCTCCCCAAAGCAGAGTCTCTCCGCAAGGTTTTTGAGCCCACGTGAGAGCGATGGCGCTTGGAGCACATTTACTTGAACACCTACTCTCCTATGGTACTTCGGGGAGACGGAGGCATGGAAGGAAAATGGAACGTCTGCCCTCAAGGAGCCCGCCCTCTAGCTGGGGAAACAGCTCACATAGACACACAGGAGCGATGGGTCACTAACAGCACCATGCAGGGCATGCTGAGGGCCAAATGCCTGTCACCATTAGTATCGCTGGAGGTCAAGTACCCAGGACTGGGTAACCAGGAAGGCTTCCAGGAGGGAAACAACTCAAGCGGGCTTCAGAAGTGCAAGTATCTCAGACTGGAAGGGACCTTAATGATCATTTATTCCAGCAGTTTTCTTTTCTTTTCTTTTGTTTTTTTTTAAGTTTATTTATTTTTGAAAGAGAGAGAACACAAGGGGGGAGGGACAGAGAGAGAGGGAGACACAGAATCTGAAGCAGGCTCCAGGCTCTGAGCTGTCCGCACAGAGCCCCACGCAGGGCTCGAATCCACGGACTGCAAGACTGTGACCTGAGCTGAAGTCGGTCGCTTAACCGACTGAGCCTCCCAGGCGCCCCAATTCCAACAGTTTTCAAGCTCTGTAGCCTCAGGACCCTTCCTTCAAAGAATCCTTGTGTGAAAACACAGCATATAAAACATAACAAGCAGTGACTCTAGTGGGTTCTGGGTGGGGTATACAGAGCCGGCTGAGCTCCCCTTTTTACTGTGCCTCTCAGACAGGCCCTGGGGAACCCCTCAAGTTCCTGGCAGCTCCACAGAATGTAGCATGAAAACCACTGATCCAGGCCATCTTACAGATGAGTATCACAGACAGGAAGGGACTTTTCTAGGGCCAAACAGTCTGTGACCACGCTGGAGGCAAATCAAGGGGCATTTTTGGTTTTGTGTTTTCCTTATATCGTTGAGACCTACCTCCCACCCCAAGTAGCCCAGAAGGGGAGCAGGAACCCGAATGACAACAGGAGTTGTGGAAGAGAGAGAAGACCGTGGGCAGGAATGACCAAGGGATATGTCGGCTCCTTTGCAAAATAAGAAAATCAAATCCACTTGACCCCTGACATCAGGAGGAGGAGGAGGCAGTGACTAGGACCTAACTTGGACCCGTCCCCCCGGGAGGTCTGCTGGGACCACTCTGTCTTCATGTCCAAGTGAAATTCCACCTCTTCTTAGTTGCTTCTGAGCAGCTCACCAAGGCTCTTCTGCCCTGTATTGTGGGAGGGCAGCAGGGATCCAGACCAAAAGAACCTGTTCCCCCACACCCTCTCTTGTGTCTTGCAAGAAGAGACATGGTGTCTAGGACTGGAGCTTCAAAGCTTTTTCTGGCTCCGTTAGAATACGGAGGGGTGGGTGGGACAGGCATCGAGGATTTGGGCACACCCGAGGACCCTACTCGGGGATTTCTGGGTCCCATTCTTGCAGGCCACAGCCACAAAACCCTACAGGAAGGCAGACAAGCCAGAGTAGTTAAGGTACCAACTGGATCTGTTCTGTCTACCACCGGGCCCAAAAGACTGGAAGAACCCAGTGGTGACCTAAAACATCACCTTACACCTAGAGGGGCCCATACCAACAGCAGGCAATCCACATTAGTGAGTAACCCAGCTTGCCTCTCCAGCCCCAACTGTGGAAAGCAAGATGTAAAGCATTTCCAATTTCCTTTGAGTTTCAGCAGACCTACTCACTTTATTAATATTATCAGTGGTTACAATGAGTATATGGCTTAGAAGCATGCTGTGAAGCAGAGGAAAACCAGTTAAAGCATTTATGTTTGCTCTGAAAAATTCAAGAAACGGTTTCTTAACACGGAGACACTCTAAAATAGAACTACGTTGATACCCATTTGGGATTTAAGGTCATTTCTCCTATTTGTGCTACAAATCCTTGAACTCACACTCAGAGTATGAGTATGCGTGCTGTATGTTTTTAAAATGTAACTTGGTATACTTTGTTACTATGGAAAAACCCATCCTTCCATGGCTCTGGTGCTTTGTTGACAATGTTAGAGATTGATTTGACCGGCAGAATCTTAGATTTTACTGGCACATGGCATAACTGATACCATGATATTTAGGCAATATCCCAGCTTGAGCCCGATTCTGAAAGAGACATCTCACAAGAGATTTATAAGCCAAACTTCCTCAGCCCCCTCTAACTCGTTCCATTCTTCTCCCAGTGCATGAAAGGGCTGGGAGGGGTCTCGGGAAAGAAGATTCATTTGGTTTACAACCTTCACCCGTTTGTCCAGAGAGTTTCTGATCTTTCCTTCCATGGTGGCCTTATCTCAGCCCTTGATAATACACGCAGGCAACAACAAGCTCTCTGACACCCATGCCATCCATCAAGATTTCATTTACTTGGGGAGAGAAAAACAGGCATTCCTCACCCTTCCTACCCACACCCTTGTTCCCAGGGAAGACTATACCTCAAGGTCTGTAGGTGTTTATGCTTAAGAGAAGAAATTGTAACTCAGTTCAGTGGAAAGATGAGAAACAAAAGAAAGCCACTATGTGCTATGTGAATGGTTGGTTGTCCTAAAGCCACTCTGTGCTGAAAAGCCCTGGGAGGACCTTAAAGTTATTATCATTATCAGGTCTCTGTGTGATTATTCACATTATACCTCAACATAGGAAAAAGATCAGGATTTTACCAGATTCACAAACATCTAATAAGAGCTTCAGTACTGCTAAAGAAAATCATGCAGCTGGGCAGATTGGTGTAGATTTGAACTCGTGACCACCAGACTTCACTGGACCCTCAGCTCTGCCTACCTTGTTTCCGTTCTAGTTACTGGTTTCCATTCTTTGTAATGACCATTTAACACTTTCTCTTGCTTCCTCCAACATCTGAGACAGAGAATTCTGGAGATCTGCAAAGGACCCCCCTCGAGTATTCAGCATAGCACTACTCATTGTGTAAATATGAGGAAACTACTTGAGACTAAGGAAAGAACCATTCAAAATGATTAGAGGGAACAGCAGCCAATAGTCATAGAGGACTGGAATAGTGCCTGTTCCCATCAGCCAGACTTGAAAACATCATAATTTATGGAGCATTGGTTGGAGTTCTCAGAAGTGTCTTGCCTCAATAGTGGGGACTCAATTAGCCCTAGTTTATTTATTTTTTTATTAGCCCTAGTTTAAACACTGCTCACCCCATCTAATAATTGTTTCCCATCTAATAAATTTTAAAGCAAGACCTGAAGGGATGAAACTGTTTCTAAGTAATGTAACTGTATCCCAAAACAGACATCAAGAATATTCATATGAATACAAAAATAACCAGCCACCAAAACCAAAATTTACAGTGTGTGAGGCCTAATAAAAAAAAATTACTTATCACGCGAAGAAGCAGAAAAATATGACCCATAGTGAGGAGGAAAATCAATTGACACCGACCTAGAACTAACATCTATGTGAAAATCAGCAAAGACATTGTTATAGTTGTATTCCCTTTATTCATATAACTAAGTAGAGACTTGGAATATGTTTTTAAAAATATACACATTGAACTTCCACAGCTGTCTGAGATGAAAAAAACCACTGGATGGAATTAACAATAGTTTAGACACTGCAGAAAGAAGACTGGTGAACTTGAAGACATGGCAATAGTAATTGTCCAAAATGAAACACCAAAAGGAAAGATTTGTAGAAATGAACAAAGAGCAGGGCCACCTGGGTGGCTCGGTCAGTGAAGCATCCAACTCTTGATCTCACCTCAGGTCTTGATCCCAGGGTCATGAGTTCAAGCCCTGCACTGGGCTCTGTGCTGGGCATGAAGCCTACTATTAAAAAAAAAGAAAAAAAAGGAATTAATAAAGAGCTACAAAGCGTGTAATAGGAAGAAAGTTGGTCCTTTACAAATATCTAAAATTATGAAAAAATGTAGGCGTCAACTAAAAATGGGTGAGAGGGCACATTGGTTGTTTTTTTTTTTTAATTATTTGTGGAGGTGGGTGAACAACAACAAGAAAGATTTTGAAAATGCTGCTCCAGATTCCATCTTCCTTCCCCTTTTCTGTATGACTTTTCTCCTTTGATCATCCCCTCTCCCTCTGAAGCATCCTTTTCTTCCTGTCAGCCTGCTTGTTCCCATGGGCACATGTATCCACTAGTAGCTGCGTCTTTGAGAAAACCCTTCCTTGACCCCCACAACCCACCTCCAGTTATTGCCCAATTGCTCTACTCCATTCACAGATTCTTTAATGTCTACACCTGCCATCCCTGCTTCCTCATCTCTCATGTACCCCTTAACCCACCTTAATGTGGCTTCACTCAGACCTACCTCTCCACCAGAGTTCCTTTTGCTATACTTGCCAATGACTTCTTTACCAGTTATTCTCAATAGTTTACCACTCCCTCCTTCGGCAGTTTAAGACTTCCTCCTCCTGGCTTCTAAAACACCACCCTCTTTTTGTTGTCTTGTCACCTCTGTGGCACCTCTTTATCAGGTTTCTTGGTTGGCACCTTATCATTGCAACTTCTAAATGCTGCTATCCCTATCCTTGGCCCTAAGGCTCTTTGTATACTTCTTCCCTTGGAGATCCCATTCAGCTTTTATTTTATTTTTTTTTTAATGTTCATTTATTTTTAAGAGACAGACAGAGCGTGAGCGAGGGAGGGGCAGGGAGAGAGGGAGACACAGAATCTGAAGCAGGTTCCAGGCTCCAAGCTGTCAGCACAGAACCTGACTCGGGGTCAAACTCATGATCCTCCAGATAGTGACCTGACTGAAGTCAGACGCTCAACCAACTGAGCCACCCAGGCACCCCCCTGGCTTCCCCCCTCCCCAAATATATCCATACACCCATGACTCCTAAGAGTCTATCTCCAAGCCAGACTCTCCTCTGGGCTGAAAGCCTATTTCAAACTGCCTACTTGACAACTCCACTTGAGTGTCTGAGAGGCATTTCAAGTTTACCTTGTTCAAAAAAGCTCTCAATCTCCCAGCAACACAAAATAGTGACTCTATCCACAGTTATTCAAGCCTGGGAGTTATCCTTAAGATCTCCCTCTCCCCTGCCCCTCCTTCTCCCGTATCCGGTCCAACACGGAGTCCTGAAATTCTACCCTCCAAAAGCTGTCTTAAATGTGTCTGCTTCTTTTCCATCACTGTGGTGTCTGAATGGGGTCTCTGATTGGATGGGGGCCCCCAAATGTGGGGCCAGTGGCATGGGCAGTGAAAGTGATGAAGTTTAGGGTGATGGGGGGGTTCGTGGGGTCTGGAGCCATTGGCCAAGAAAGAGTTCTGGAAGATGTCTTTTGTGCAAAAAGGTGATTTTATTAAAGCACAGGACAGGACCCGTGGGCAGGAAGAGCTGCACTGGGGTCCTGACGGGTCATTCACTATATACCCTCAGGTCAGGATTAGAGTAAGTATCTAAGGAATTTTGGAAGCAAGATTTCCAGCACCTTGAAGGACTAGCTGTTGCTAGGGAAATGCCATTTATTGCCATTTAATAAAACCTCAGTCATGAGACCCTTCTGATGTGTATCAGGGGGCCATGAGCTTGGAGTATGATTGCCAGCGTATATCTTGGGGCGTTGAGATAAAGGAAGTCGACTTACAGGGTCCTCTAGTTTGGGATAATGTTAAGCTAAGGTTCTCTTTGTTCCCAGCAAAGTGTCATCCTTGAGGCAGCTGAGCTCCTAGAGGGAGGTCACTCTGCCGATTTCAAGGACTTGTCAGTGGGCTGTAGGCAGTAAGGGAATTTAATTTTTCATTTGCCTTAGTTTCCCACCTTACCATGGCAAGCACTTAAACCCCTTTCCTTTGTTCTTGGGTAGCTGGGACTGTCCAAGGAATATCACACATATTCCACCTGGGGGGCAGGTGTGCTGGCCTGTATTTTACCCTCAACCTACCTCATGCTCCCTCATCAAAAGGATTCACCTGAGGCAGAACGAAGGCGATAGAAGGTTATGGAATACACCGCAAAGGAGCAGTGGGCAGGACAGCAGAGGGGCTGTCTGAAACAAGGCAGTGGGTGGGGGCTGTTTTTAAAGGCAGAAGGTGAGGAGGTGTATGGACCATGGAATTTTCCCTGCTTTGGTAACCGTGCCTAGTTGTAAGCAGCCCATTGGGTAGTTAGGGCCTATGGATATTTTGAGGTGGGTGGCCTGTCGGGCCGGTCAGGTGGTTGCTCTGGGCCCTTTCCACGTTGTGTCTCTCAAGGCTGTTTGCCTAGAAGCGGTCTCTACAATCCTCACTGCTACCACCAGCCTTGCGGCCAGGCCACCATCATCTCTCATTTGAATGATTACAGTAGCCTCCCAGCCATCTCCCTAGTTTTGCCCTTGCCCCCCTTCAATCCATTCTCCATGAAGTAGCCAGAGTCAGCTTTTTAAAATATAAATTGAATAACACTCTACTGCTCTAATATTTCAATGACTTCCCATTACTCTTAAGGATCAAATCTAATCTCTTTACCTTTGGCCTGTAAAGCTTGCTATTTGACTACTTATCTCTCCGGCTTTATCTGTACCCTTTCCTCCTCTGTGTCAGCCTTTCTTGCTCAATCCTGCTTTGGGACTTTGCATTTGTCCTCCCTTCTACCTACCCCACATTGTTCATCAGATTAACTCCCACTCATCTTTCATCAATCAAACATAAGCATTTTCCCTCACTATTCGATTTCAATTGGGTTTCCCAGGCTTTTGCTGCCATAGCAGTGTAGAAAATGTTGAGGTTCGGAGCCAATGGCCAAGAAAGAATTCTTGAGACATATTCAGTGCAAAAAGGTGGTTTTATTACATCACAGGGACAGGACTTGTGGGCAGAAAGAGCTGCACTGAGATTGTGAGGTGTGGCCGATTATACGCTTTCAAGTTGGGAGGGGGTTAGGAATAGCACAAGCCTCCAAGGTATTTTGAAAACCTTGAAGGTTTCCAGGATTCTGAGGCTAGGAAAAGTTAATTTATTACTGTTTAGTAAAATCTCAGCCATAAGACCCTTCAGATGTATATCAGTGGGTCATATTCTTGGAGGATGATTGCTAACATACATTTGGGGGGGGGGGGTAGAGATAAAAGAAGTTTCCAAAGGAATTTTTATATGTTAGAGTAGACGTACAGGATCCTGGAGGTTGGGTAATGTTAAGCTAAGATTGTCTTTTGCCCTTAGCAAAGTGTCATCAAAGCAGCTGAGTTCCTAGAGAAATGTCACTCTGCCTATTTCAAGAACTTGGCAATGGGCTATCGGCAGTGAGGAAATTTAACTTTTCATTTGCCTTTGTTTCCCACATCAATTGTACATTGTGGTTTTCCTTCATAGTTTTACTACAGTTGGTAAATATGTATTTATTTGGTTTTCTTCCCCCCACTTAATTGAGGTGTAACTAGTGTTTGTGTGATTATTTATCATTTTCTATATTGTAAACTCCAGGAAGGCAGAGCCAGTCAGTCTGGGTATTTGTTGCCCCACCCCCATCTGTCCTGTTAGAAGAACGGTCTGGCACACAGCAAATGCTCAATAAATATTTATTGCGCGAAATGAATGAGTGCTTTAAGAGCTTGAGTACCCTCCCCTATTCTCTAGGAGTAGCTCTGAATCTCTTCTTAAAATCTGGGTAAGTGTTGGGGTACCTGGCTGGTCCAGTTGGTAGAGAATATGGCTCTTGATCTCAGGGTCATGAGTTCAAGCCCCAGGTTGGGGGTAGAGCTTACCTTTTTTAAAAACGGGGGCGGGGGGGGGGAATCTCCATGTGTTATTAAAGTTAGGACTGAGGGCAAGTGCCTGAGGTATTTCTGTCCACAGATCCTCTTTAAACGTCACCTACCACTCACCACTCTCTGCCTATCCAAGTGCTCTGCGCTGTCGCCAATCAGCATGCAATCTCCCTAACAATCATGGACCAAATAAAGAGGATTGTGACATGGACTCTAAACGTGACCGCATTTGCGTCTCAAGCCAAGAATATGACGCCCACAGCTCATTGCTCCTTCCAGGCCCGCAGAGTGCACCACTTCCCTCCCCTGCCCAGACCTGGGGGCTCCAACACCCAAAGCCTAGGAGCCCAGGCTCCGGCCATTCTTCTGACCTGCCGTACAGCATGGCAGCCCCCAAAGGCGTGGCCCAGGGCACAGATAGACGTACAACATGGCCGCCTACAGGAAGCACACCGCACGCCCTCCCGCCGGGCCACCGGAAGTTTCCATTTGAAAGCCAGGCGGCAGACCGGGTTGCTGGTGCAGCAGTTACTGCGGAGCAGCTTTTGAACCAGAGCGACGAGGGCTGCGAGTAGGAGCTACAGGCGCCTGGGTTCGGTTGTCCCGGGGCGAGAGACGGGGCTGGATGTCGGAGGCGGGCGGGATGGATGGACTGGGAATGGAGAATTTTCTTTCTCCCGACTTCTTCCCCGGGCCCGGACAGGCCAGGTCGCCCTCTCCCGGGGCCTTCCACCTGCTTGGGCCCCCTGGCCCACCGCAGGCTAACATTCGATTCGCACCTTCCAGGGCCCAGCCTTGCCGCCTCGTTACGATGACCAGCGTGGTTAAGACAGTGTACACCCTGCAGCCCCCCGCTGTGCAGAGCGGCGGCCTGCCGGCAGGTGGGTATCAACGCCGCCCTGCGAACTCGCGGAGGAGGTCTAGCCTAGGAGTATGAGGGCTTAGATCGGCGGCCTGGAAAGGGGAAGGGCATTCCATTGGCTCTGACAACCTGCTAACTCCCCCGAAACCTGGCTAAATTGCTGATTGTTCCACAATATTATTTCCTCAAGCTAGGAATCTCTTGTTAAGCAATTGCTCGTTTTGTTTCCAGAGTTGGGCTATCTGGCTGGACCGGATTTGTTACCTGGGAGAAGAGAGGAGAGTCTGATTCTTAGAGGCCCTGGGGTTCACCCACGTCTAGTTCACATTTGTAACTGCACAGTGTCTCTTATGTAGTATGTTCTCAGTGTTTGTTGGGTGAAATGAGAGAGAGGGGCCAGGCCTAGCTGGAGTTTTCCACAACCTTGGGAGAAGAGATAGGATTAAAAACAATTTTTGATTCCTTTGACATCCTGCTTTGTGTTACTGGGCTTGTGGTTGGAAGTCATCTCCTACAATCTGCAGTTGTCCAGCTGCGTAATCTGGAGAGCGTAGCATATAATAGACTTCAAACATCAGAACCTGTTGTGGGAGATTTGGAAACAGCTTTATTAAGACTCCTTTCCAGGAGACTGCCACTGGTGGGTGAACAGTAACAGGATTAATCTGTGAGGTAAACAGGCTTGTCTCCAAAGGCTTAAAGGTTGTTTTTGTTTGTCTCATGTGGCCTCAGAACACCTAAATGGTAATCTGGCTTCAGCAGGACTAGGAGTCTCTGGGGGAGCTGGAGCCTGGCCCCTTTACCCTGCCTTTCCCTTGGAGAACAGTGACCATCCTTGGGTGGAAAATGACGGGCTCTCCCCAGACAAGTTGGGAGTTTTCATCTCAGTTTTCTGTCCCTGTCCCAGCTTTACGATCATATATGACCGAAACAGTTTAACGTTTTAAGGCGATCTCCTAGGTTTTTTGTTTTGATTTTGGGCATCGACTCGTTTCTAAGTTTTAGTTTTCCAACTAGGTAACATACACATGTTAAAAATCCAAAGTTAGAAAACAATCTGCGGTGAAGAACGAGTCTCCCTTCCTTGACACCAGCCACCCAGTTCTCCTCCTTAGCGCCTCTCATTTCAAGAAGACAGTCTTTGTTAAATCCTGCTAAATTTTTCCTACAATGCAGCCCTTAGGTTCTAGCAAGTACGGATTATTTGGATCTGCTTCCAGTCAACGAAGAGTGTTAATTTTGATCAGTTTACTATTAAGACCCTTTCTCATGGGATATATTTGTTACCGTGTAGAACTTCATACCTGAAATGGGATGTTCCCCCAGGATTACCTTTTACTTCAGACAAAGACCTGGGGCACCTGGCTGGCTTACTTGGTAAAGCATGTGACTCTTGAGCTCAGTTCTGAGTTCAAGCCCCACATTGGGCATGGAACCTACTTTAAAAAATAAATAAAAATAAATAAATAAAAACATGTGTACTTCAGAGACTTCAAAAAGAACCATTTTTTTTCAAAATATGAAGTTTATCGTCAAATTGGTTTCCATACAACACCCAGTGCTCATCCCAAAAGGTGCCCTCCTCAATACCCATCACCCACCCTCCCCTCCCTCCCACCCCCCATCAGCCCTCAGTTTGTTCTCAGTTTTTAAGAGTCTCAAAAAGAACCATTTTAATCTTTGCTTTGTGGGCACGAGAATGGAATATAGGGTATAAGTGCCCAGTGAGTGTACCTATAAATGAAATCATTTGTCAGCCTGAGAAATCATATTTATTCCAAACTATTGTGCAGCTAAAGTCATCACAACAAAATCTGTGTCAAATACAGATACCAGTTTCCTAATGCCTGTGATCCAGTGCTTTGTACCTCGTTTCTTCAACTTGATTTGTTACAGCCCTTAATTTAGGTCAAGCTGAAGGAGCCATTTTACACTGAGCAAAGTGAAAGTTGGTTTAAATTAGAAAATCCGTGGGGGGAGAGGCGGTGAGGCAGCGTGTAACTCCAGAACATGTTACTTGAACTTGCTGTGGTCTATAAATGGTAAAAAGACTGTGTGGCTGGCATAGGGACTAGGGGGAAATGCTCCTCTCTGGGGCAGAAGCATGTCATGGCAGGGCCACTTCTCAGGTTATCTGGCAGTACCCTAGCAAGATAAGAACAGAATGTCAACTAATGAATTCACTTAATGAATAAACAAAAGGGCTGAAGTAAAGGCAATCATCATGAAAAGGGGAAAGAAGGGGCACCTGGGTGGCTCAGTGGGTTAAGCGCCCAACTTTCAGCTCAAGACATGATCTCACGATTCATGAGTTCGAGCCCCATGTCAGGCTCTGTGCTGTGTGCTGACAGCTCGGAGCCTGGAGTCTGCTTAGGATTCTGTGTCTCCCTCTCTCTCTGCCCCCTGCCCCCCTCTTGCACATGCTTGCTCACTCCCTCCCTCCCTCTCTCAACAATAAATAAACATTAAGAAGTTAAAAAAAAAAAAAGGGGGCAGGGGGGTGGGGGAGAAGACTAGAGGAAATCATTCAGAAATGGTGTGTGAAATATCGTCAAGTGTGAAGTTCTGAAGTGTTCTATATGTTCAGCTAGTGGGTACCAAACCCCTGTTAATATGCCGGATACTCTCTAGGCGCTAGGGACACAAAGACGTCTCAGAGTATTTAGGGAGACTGGTCAAAACAAGTGTGTGGCAGTTCAAAGAGAACCTCATAGCAGTTTGAGTGTAGCCTTGGGAGAGCAAACTGAATGCTTAGGAGCTTAACAAGGTGGTTCAATTCCACTGGAGACGGACGAAGGATTCAGCTGTGTTTTGCTCTGCTGACGGCCACACTGGCTCGCATTTGGCTCTTTGCTTGTATCAGCCTCCACTTTCACATCTGTGCCCTCTGACCGTTCACTTTGCTGCACCATCAAGCTTTTGGCTGTCCTCAAACACATTGCACTGTCACATTCGAAGAGTTTTAGTTTCCATCCCCGATTATTCTCGAACTCTTATTCTTCTGAATTGATCTCCACGAGTTGTGGTTGGCCAGAATGAAAATCCAAGTGTCCGACGACCTGGAACAGAACCGTTTGTTATAGAGTCGCAGCTATTGGGTCATGGTGCTTGAGTCTTCACCCGCTTGCTTTCCTTTGCAGACACACAAACTCGAGCCCCTTCTAAGAGCCTCTTACCAGTGAAGTCCAAAGAAGTGGATGTTTCCAGGCTTCATTCAGGAGGTGCAGAGAACGATGTTACAAAAATCATCAAACCAAAACGAGAGAACGGGTGAGAGTCAGAGCATTGGTATCCAGTGAGAACCTCTTGCTAGAAATTACTCAGCATCAAGATTTAGAAAGTAGGGTTTTTGAGAGCACAGGGCAGCGGGAGTCAGTGACCCAAAGCAGTCGATCAGTTCTGAAGAGGCCCAGCAAGGGTTAAGATAAGAGGTACTCTTTCCTCTCTCACCACTTGCTCTGAGTGTGCAGACAGCAGTACTGTGGCCAAACAACAGCCCTAAGTGGTGGTCGGAGTGGGTGGGGCTGCTTGCTAGCCTAGGTTGCTGGTCTGAGCACAGTCCAGCCCAGGGAAGTGTGTGCCCCTCCCTCTTCTCAGTTCCCATAGAAGCAAGGTTGACATGAGATAATTACACCGTTTTGAGCAGCAGCAGGTCTGTCGGGTGGTCGAGGTGGTCAGGAGAGGAGCCCATTCCCTATTAATAGTCTGGGCTGAGACAAAAGTGCAAGGACCCTCAGAGCTTCTCAAGCGGCTGCTGTTGGCATTCTATGGAATCTCTGGTTCTTTCCTCAGAAAACCAAGCTCTTTGTTCTGCCTTGTTCACCACACACGTAACAATGCCACAAGTCTCTGATTTCTCTGTTGTTTCCTTTTTTAATTGAGGTATGTTATTAACACACATTATATTAGTTTCAGGTGTACAATATAATGATTAGGTATTTGTGTATGTTGCAAAATGATCACCACAATGAGACTAGTTAACATCCCGGTTTCTTTGTTTTTGCTCCTCTAGGCAGGTGAAAGCTGCAGACACTGCCTTTAGGAGGAACATCAGAAAAAGGTGAGCATCGGGGTAAATGAAAGCTGGCCACTATTTTGGGGTGGCAGATATCAGTCGCGTACCTCAGAATCGCTCATGGGTTCTTGTAATGTGTTATAGTCTGGGTGCCATCCCAGAAAGTTGAGTGGAATTTTCAGGGATGAAGCACAGCCAAGTTTGAGAACCACTGTCAGGGCAAGGATCCGTGATGCTACCATCTTGAGAACCAGACGAGCTTTCTGGGCTCCATGCCAGGACCACTGCTAATTGGAAATCAAACCCAGCTAGATAGCCCATCTCCTATTGATGGCTCCTATTGAAGGCGTGAGCCTTCAGGTTAGGAGGCACTGCATGTGGTTAGTGACTTTGAGATGGAGGTGATGGTGGTGGTGGTAGAATCCTGGGGAAGGATCCATCTCTCTGTTTGAGGCTAGCTTGGATGTTTTGCAGTCCTGAAGATGGAAATAGTGCAAGCTGGAAAGTTTGTAGACATAGGTTCTGATTCCAAATCTAATTCCAAATAGGTTCTACTTCCAAATCTATAATAGATTTGGGCATGTCTTAAAAGTTCTGAAGATAGGAGCACATGGCCAGCTTAGTCAGTAGAACAATGCGACTCTTGATCTCAGGGCTTTGAGTTCAAGCCCCACGTTGGGTGTAGAGATTACTTAAAAATAAAATCTTTAGGGGCGCCTGGGTGGCGCAGTCGGTTAAGCGTCCGACTTCAGCCAGGTCACGATCTCGCGGTCCGGGAGTTCGAGCCCCGCGTCGGGCTCTGGGCT